AAAAAAAAAAAAAAAAAAAAAAAAAAAAAGGATATACCAGTTGGATAATCCCATGTCATATTCCTTTGACCAGAGCTGGCTCCTGGTTAGGGTGAATCAGGGTGACCGCCCTGGGCCCCTGCGCTTTGGGGGACCTGGTGGAGCAACCACGGCTGCAGGGCCTTCCTGGAGCTGACAGCTCAGCCCCGCGCTGAGGAAGAAGAGTCTGGCCATTCCCCCTCCGTTCACCACCAGCTTCGCATCCACTGAAGAGCAGCTCATCCTGGGTGCGTGGGATCTGCTTGGCCCCGGGTGCAAATTTCATTGCTATGGCACTCCTGTGCCCTGCCTTTACGGGGGTCCCATGGCCCCATGCAGTGTTAAAGGGGCCCCACACAGGCTGATTTGCCCCAGGCCCCGCATCCTGCTAGGGTCGGCTCTGCCTTTGACATACAGTCCTTGTATGCATATGAAACTGCAAAGTCAAATCACTCTTAAGATGATGCGAGTAGCCACTACTGGTCTTGAAACAAGTATGGCATCAGAACCAGATCCCAGCAGCCCCTCAGCTAAGACAGCACACTAGTGTTCTTCAGCTCCCTGCTCCCGCTGTTAAAGAGCCTCCTGTAAAGAAATGGGCAGTGATAAGTCGTACAAAATCAGATACACTGTGTGAGTTGCAAAGCCAGAGCCTAGGTCATTGAGCACCTTCGCTCCCATTGACTTCTAGGAGAACTGAAAGTGTTCAAAACTGCAGTCTTAGTAATTTTGTGAGCATCTTGGAGCGAAGAGGAAAGATGAAGTGTTAACTTGGATGATGAGAGAAAAGTGGGTAGCATGGACCAGAAAATGAAGACAGGAAAGGAAATGTTATCTTTGTCCTTTTATAAGACAATATAATTGTTAGCTTTTTTTTTTTTTTTCAATGTAGCATTTAATTTTGACATTACTGGCCTTTGCTGCCTTGCAGGGAGGTGGAGAAGTCAGGTTAGCTTTTGTTGAGCCAAGCTGTGTTGTGATCTGGGAGCTGTCCTCCTGGTATGGCACTGCTTAATTACGAAGAATTTTCCCGCAGCATCCCAATGAGGTAGATCCTGTTTCTGAAGTAAGACATTTTTCCCTGACCACTTATGCAGCCTCCTTTTTACTACTCCAGTATGTACTTAGTATCCAGAGCCACTTCTAATCTGAAGTTTGGTGTCCAACATCTAAAATTAAAACAGGTTTATTGTATCTATAACATCTAGAGTGTCCTTCTTTAATCCTTGCTGCTAGACAACAGTAAAAAAAGACATTTCAGATCATGAAACTTGTAAAAGCCATCAAAAACGTGATGTATTATGTGTTTAAAGAAGCATAAGGTAACGAGGAAAAGGGAGCAGATTGCACCATTATGGTGCAAAAGGTCTAATTCAAAGCCATTGAAGGTGGCATAGGTCTTTCCATTGAATCTTGTGAGCCTTAGATCAGGCTTTTGTGTTTTTCAGTTGTGACCCAATGTTGGGTGATGTATGATCATCATGGATCTTGGTTTTTCTCTGATTTAAAAAAATGCAAATTCTCCGATTAAAAACCCCAACTCCGCTATTACAATGAAACACCACGATGGATGGATGGATATTTGGAGCCTACCAGTGCATCAGTCACTATAATAAAATAAATTCTAAATATCTATACATTTTGGTGTTTGACTTTGGGTTTTTTATCATGGAAAATTGGAGCTCCCCCTGCCCCCTTAGCTCACAGAATGCAGGTCCAGGTCTCCCACTCCCAAACCACAGCCTCCCAGCCTTGCTGGTGCCCCTTGCTCCCTCACTGCCCCACGGGCAACATGGCTGGAGCAGAGCGTGTGTGTGTGGAGGGTGGTTTGTGGGCTGCCTGCTGTGGGCTTGGAGGGTGGGAGGCAGTCACCACCACTGTGTACACTCCTGGGGGGCAGGAGGGGACCCGTGCTCCCCAAATCAGGGCAGGAGTGGTACGGCTGCCTGCTGTGGGCTCAAGCTGCCTGCCCTGGTGCCCTTTCTTGGGGCCTCCACAGCCCAGTGGGTGGGACCTAGTGTGGCAGGGCAGAGCAAGGCTGGGTGGGGAAGCTCCTTGCTGCTGCGAGCCCTGTGGTGCCCTGACAAGGTGTCTCCTGCCCACTCCACAGCAGTGAGGGGCACAACCCCATGCCACTGCCCCCACTTCTGTTGTGGGGCAGTCAGGGGACGCCTTGCCAGGGCGATACAGGGCTTACAGTGGCAAGCAGCTTCCCTGCCTGACCCTGCTCTGCTGTGCCAGGTCCCACCCACTGGGCTGCAGAGGCCCCTAGGGAGAGCAGCAGGCTGGGTAGCCCAAGCCCACGGTGCACATCCTGCACCCGCCTCTGCCCTGTGCACAACAGATCTGGGGGGCAAGGGTCACCACTGCCCCCACCCCAGGAGTGCACACAATGGCAGGGAGCTGCCCCCCGGGATGAGTCACCTGTGTCCCTGTCCCGCTCTCTGCCAGGGCTCTGCAGCCATGCAATCTGTCCCCAAGGCCCATGCGCTGCCCAGCTTGGTAGCAACCCCAGTCCCAGCCCTGCCCAACTCCCTTCCTCCCTATGGGGGCCTCAATCCAGGCACCCCTCAGACTTACCTGCGGGAGCTGCTCTCTAGGCTGCCTGGCGACCATGTGCATGTACATGCCCATGGCGCCTCTGCCTGACAGCCTTCCTCCTGCTCCCCACAGCCCCTTTCAGACTGAAACTGCCTGCCTGCAGAGAGCTCTTTGCAAAAGTGGAAAATCTGTGTTTCTCCACTAAAATGAAAAACTCCCATTTTTCTTGGCTAGGTAAAGGGGGAAATCTTTGGTTTTTTTCCATTTCCCCCTTTACAGAAAACCTGGATCCTTGATGATCAGGCAGGATGTAAGATCAAATTTTCATCAGATATCAAAGGCAGCTATTTAAGTATTTTAATGATTTTAAAGAGAGCTAGTCCCTCTGTAGAATAGCTGTAACAATCTCATTCTTTTCAATTTTTAAATTTATTTTCCTATTTAACTTGCCTTTTTTGGGGAAGAAGTAGTTCTTCAGAGTTACTTCGCTAACACACAATACAGGCAGTCCTCAACTCACAACTTTCCAGTTACAACATTTTGCACTTACAACGTTTATCAGCTGACACCCTGTTTCAACTTTGACGTTGGTTTCAACTTTACAACACCTGATCCGACGCCACTCCACGCCAGCGAACAAGTTCACTGTGTCGCTCGTCTCCCTGGAGAACATCTGTCCAAACTTCCTTGGACACTTTCTTTAAGAAAGCAGCCGAGACTCCTGAGAAGACTCCAGCTGAGAGCCCTTCAAAAAGTCCGGCAAAGTCACCTCAAAGAAGTCCTTCCAAATCAGTATGATTGCTATTTACAATATAAATACATTAATGTAGCTATATCACTCATCTATAATTTATCGAGTACAAAATTCTGGGGTATTTTTAGTGAAAATAGGGTATTGGGCCTTGGTTCAATCTCCCATTTATAACATTGTTTCTTATGAGAAAATTGGTTCCGAGTTGCAATGTTTCAACTTAAGACGCAGTTTTCAGGAACCAGTTGTGTCGTAAGTCCGAGGACTGCCTGTATTAATAACCCTGGTGAAAAAAAAAAAAAATTCCTTTCACTACATAGAAGTTGGCTTGACACTGAAGTAAAGTAAATAAATAAATAAAAAAAAGCTAGTTGCCTGATACAGGAAATGATACAGGACAATCAGATGTTGTATTGTTTAGTATTACATAGGAAAGTCCAGTAACACTGCAATTCTTGGATTTGGAATCAAGGACATGCAATGCAAGCTAGACTTTATGGAGATGATTATCCATTTAGGAGGATAGTTTTATTAAAAAATTTGTTTAGATAATACAGAAGCCTTTCCTCAAATAACAGGAGACAAAATTAGATGTTCTTTCATCTTTATTTCAGTCAATCCCTATTACCCAGAGCACAGCTCTAGCTAATACCCCATGATCTTTCCTCTTTGAGTTCAGCTCTTTTAAAGAGCCAGTACAAAAATACAGTCAGGGTTAAGGGGTAATTCAGGGTAAGAAGCTCTATATTTAAATTGTAAATAATTATGGTCATTACATGTTGAAATTATAAACATATAGGTGCACAGGAAAGTAGTGCTGGAAGGGACCTCCCAGGGTCTTCTAGTCCGGCTTCCTGCTTCTGGCAGGCTCCTCCCTGATTAAACCATCCTAGCCAAGGGTCTGCCCAACCTGCTCTTGAAAGTTTCCAGGGATGGAGAGTCCACAATTTCTCTAGGCAGCCTGTTCCAACGCCTGACTGTCCTTATAGTCAGAAAGTGCCTCCTAATCTTTAACATAAATTTCTCTTGCTCCACTTTGAGGCCATTGCTCCTAGTCCTGTCTCCTGCAGCTGGAGAGAAGTCCATCTCCATCCTCTCTGCAATCGCCCTTTGGGTGTTTGAAGGCTGGTATCAAATACCCCCTCAGTCTTCTCTTCTCCAGACTAAATAACCTCAGCACTTTCAGCCTTTTCTTCTCTCAGGCCCCTGACCATTTTTGTTGCTCTGTGCTGGACCCT